ACATGACCATTTGGGCCTCTGCCGAGAATCCTTACTGGAGTGATGAAACAAGAGCCGGCAAATGCAAGCAGCCTGTCCTGCCCCATTGCGGCTTTCTCTGACGATGGTTCCTTAGTTAAAGAACATGTAGGGCACTTTACGTCGAGGCGCCAGAGTAAGGCTTTCACCAGTTGCGATTTGCCCCGACCCACTCCTTCAGCACGCAAGTCTTGCGACGAGCCTTGTATGCTTCACATGTTGCCCCTACTTGCGAAGCCCCTCTCCTCGCCAGAGTCGGCCCAGGCCCACCATTCCTTCCGCAAATGAGTCCAAGAAAGCTCACGCGAAGGATAGGTCGGATAGGTGTCTGAGCCCAGCACAGAGTTGCTCCATGAGTTGCTCCATGTAGCCTGGAGCACAGGCGTGCGAAACTGCGTCGAGGCCAAGCGGCTAAACAAGGCAGGCTCTGCCGTGCGCAAGGTGCCTCCTTGCGATTGTCCCAGCACTCTTCACCTTAGGCGGTGCCAAGTTTGACCAACGCCATATTGCTTGGCACTGAAGGTCTCTGTTTGTCTTGGCCACAAACCGCCCCACCAGCCGTGGCCACATCCTGCAGGCCATCGCCGCTCAGGTGGTGAAAGCACTCAAAATCAACGGCGCTTCCTTCGTCCCAAGCATGCTTGCACTCAGCAACATCCATTGCAACAACTCGGAGAGGGAGGGAGAGAATGAGAAAGCGAGAGGACCCATCGGGCCTGCTGTAGGATCGTACCAGGGGTCATCATCGCCCTGACAATGGAATTCGAGTTCAGAATCTTAGGCGTACGGATTTCAACCGTTGGATTCAGGGCTTGGGGTTTGGGGTTTAAGGATTTGGGACTCTTGCCAAAGGGTTTGTAAGTTTTATACTGTGGGCTCAAAACAATTGGAGTTGGCAATAGGGCTTAGGATTTAGGGTGTAGGGTTTAGGCTTTCTACCTCGCCGCCTTAGCATCAGCTTGAGTTTCCGAGCATAAGGGACCCCTACTATAGACTCCCAAGTAGTAGTACCCCAAAGACCCCAATACTGTACCCTGACTATCCTAAACCCCCAGAAGGTTTTGTTTTCTCAGGAGGCTTGGCAGTGCGTTTTGGAGTCAAAGAATTGGTTTAGAACACCCCCCCCCCCTCTCGATGCGAGGAAAGGGGCGGGGGGGGGTTTTGAAACTACCTTGCAAGGACATGTTCTTCGCCTGTAACTGAAAGGATTCACGCTTGAAAGGATTGGTTTGAATGAGTGAGGAAGGCACCTGCAGAAAGCAGGCGATAAAATCCAACAAAAAACAAAGCACGTCCCATCCTTCCGCTCGAAACCCTGGACTTGTGCTGCGTTTAAGCCTGAGGAGCCCACAACCCCCCGGTTGCGGCTCCAACCCTGGGTTTGGGCTAGATCTGGGCCTGAAGTGCCCCAAACCGGCTACATTCAGGTAGCGATCGGCTATGGTGCCTGTAGTCATCATGCAATCTTGAGAGATGGGTCCTGCCAACTTCACTTTAACCCCCACCCCCCTCCCCCCAATTGCGGACAACTCGCCCCGGTGGCGCCCGAGCAGCTTGGCATCCGATGTGACAAGCAAGTCTCCCCACTGCTTGATCATAGCCAAAAAGCCTAGAAGGTAAACAGGACTGGCCATAATCCATCCTTTCCATGCAAACTGAGTGGATGCAGTGGATGCACCCTTGAACTTCTCCATGCGACAAGGGGGTTAAAACTCAATGGATTCACCCCTGATCTCGATCCGGGTCTTTTCGGAACCTGCTTTTCCAGCAGGTTCCGACGAACCGCGACATGACACTGGGGGGTGACGCCTGCCGACACGGCGGGCTTGCACATGGTCGCTTGGCGTAGGTGCTTTCCGTCAGGGCTGGGGTCTTGTGTTTTCGACTCAGGTGGCTTGGCGCAGCACTCGTCTTGCGAAGAAGTACTGCCGAGCCCATCAAGCGTCTTTTCGTCATCTTGACCGGGATCTCGAACTTAAGGTTCTGGGCTTGGGGGTAAGTTTTGAGCTTTCCTGACAAGACATCATTAGACATCTCTCTGCGAACGGCGAAAGACCTCAAAGCTGAATTAGAACTCAATTGTTCCCAGGCCTCCTCAGGCATCGTGAGCGCCGCCACCTGACAGGGCTCATGGCCTCTGTCAACACGGAAGCTCACGGAAGGGAAAAGCAGAGGCCTGCTTGAGGAGGTTGATCCGCATGTCCTAGTCAGCACCAGCATTGCACAGCCACACAGCCACAGCATGCAAGCAAAATCGAGTGCTCAAGCGCTTTCGCAGCCTCCGGCAACGTCGTGAAGCCAAACAACTGACAAGATGGCGTCATGGCCGGACTTGGCGAATTACGACCACAACATTCCTGTGGCCTTGATCGGCGGCAACGTCTCCATCCCGGCAGTCAATGTCACGTCGGATGATTGATGAAGAAGTGGGTGCTGACACCACGGGGCCGAGTGTGAACCATGTGCGTGTTCATGCGTGTTCAAGCTGCAGCTCCTGTGCGGCTACAACGTGCGAGGCTGCACCTACTGCAGGGTATATCCAGCAATGCTGCTTGCGAGAGAAGTTTTGGAGCCAATGTGGCCACAAACAGCTGACCTGTCATGCTTCAGTCATGCTTCACTGTTTTACACCTCACATGTCAACAAGCGAAGCTGGTTTCGGAAGTTGGCGCCGCAGTGTCTAACGTTCGGCTTTTGTTTTGGATCTGAGTGACTCAAACAAGTGCCCGAGAGCCACAGAACATTCAGGTTCTGAATCCAGGCGCTCTCCTTTGTTGCGGGATTAATGAGGGGAGCGGTAAGATTTGGGTTGGGAGGGGGGGGGGGGGGGGTGGAGGTTTGGGTGAAGACTTGCTGGGGGGCCTCCGACAATGGACAGGGCGGCTACGGCTCCCAACTGCTCAGGCAAACCCTCTCGTTTCGAAACTTCGCTCATGTCCACGACAGCCGAAAGCTCAACCTGTCGCGGAACCCTTTTCTCCCCCACGTTCCCCGTGCTGCCATCACGCTTGAAGAAAGTTCGGCCCACAGCTGTGTGCACCACAAGACTCCATGGCATCACGGCACAAGCTGACTTTACAATCCGGCATTGAGTAATGGAGTGCCCTGCTGGTACTGTCAGGAACATCTGCATGGAATACAGCAATTGCTCATGTTGTTCCTATCGAAATCCTAGTCCATGGCAAGCCTTTCCGGAGATGATAACAACTTGACCAAGCGGCTTCCAAGTTCCTTTCCAGAACACGTCTCTTTCTCGAACCCGCTAGAAACACTTGGAAACGCTTCTTCCAGCAACTGCCAGAACCCTCAGTGACAGGCGTCTTGGGTGACAGGACTGGGGCTGCCAAAACGGCACATGCAAGCAGCTTAGTCTGGCAAGCTGCGGCCCATACTGGCCCGGTGTGTTTGGGTTTCGGGTTTAGGGTTTAGGGGTTAGGAGGCTGGCACCATGACCATGACAGCTTCGATTTCAGGGTGCTGGTGTTGTGATTCGGCGCTCTCGGGCGGGCCGTAGTTGATCGAATTCTTGCTCACGAATGGCTTCGATCACCTGCACCAAGGTGGCGAGCACGGGGAAGGCGGACTAATGACTAGTGACGTCATTACATTGATTGAGAGAGAGGGGGTGACGCTAAGAGTGTCAATTGGTGTCGCACTGAGACGCTGAACATGCTGTGTTCTGCTGCGTGGCTTTATCCGGGCGAATCCATTGGAACGTCAGAAGTTGAAACGATTCGGTGAAAGAACAAGAGACGGTCACCCTTGCAAGCATGTACAGACGTACCAAAACCAACAGGTCTGGATCGATGCTGAGTGGTCGAAAAAAGCATTGATGAAGTAGTGGGCCCATTCAAACCTTAGATCCCTCACCCTGAAGGATGCCCAAGTGAACCTTGAAAACCTCGAGGCACATCAAAAAGAGGTTTTGTTTGAGGGTGTAGGGTTTAGGGTCAGGCTTAAGGGTTTAGGATTTAGGGTTTCGGGCTTAGGGTTCAGCATTTCCGAGCGTGAAGAGTCTAGTCCAGCCATTCTCTCGACCAACACCCACCCGCCCAAAGAATCCCACCACATCCGAACATGTTGCTTCATAACTTCAAAAAAACAGCGCCACTTTGTTACGGAGCGTTTCCCCCAAAAAAACAGACGCCACTTTGTTACAGAGCGTTTACCCTGCAAAAAAACGCCAGTTTTCCCGAAAGAAACACCACTTTGTTACGGAGCGTTTCCCCTTCAAAAAACAATACACCACATTGTTGCGGAGCGTGTACCCTGCAAAGAAATGCCACTTTGTTACGGAGAGTTTTCCCTTCAACAAACCGCCACTTTGTTACGGAGCGTTTCCCCTTCGAAAAAAGAACGCCACTTTGTTACGGAGAGTTTACCCTTCAAAAAAAGCGCCACTTTGTTACGGAGAGTTGTCCCTTCGAAAAAACACGCCGCTTTGTTACGGAGCATTTGCCTTTCGAGAAAAAAACGCCACTTTGTTGCGGAGCGTTTCCCCTTCGAAAAAAAACACGCCACTTTGTTACGGAGCGTTTACCCTTCAACAAGAAGCGCCACTTTGTTACGGAGAGTTGTCCCTTCGAAAAAACACGCCACTTTGTTACGGAGCGTTTCCCTTTCGAGAAAAAAACGCCACTTTGTTACGGAGCGTTTCCCCTTCGAAAAAAGCGCCACTTTGTTACAGAGAGTTTACCCTTCAAAAAAGCCCGCCACTATGTTACGGAGCGTTTCCCCTGCAGTCACTCCACCCCACCCTCGGACCACCAGTTCACGTGACCATTTCCCGTGACCATTTCCTGAAAGGGGAGGGGGGGGGGGGTTGACCACCACTTCCCGTGACCATTTCCGCGCGAAAAAGTATTCAATACTAGCTGAAAAGAGGGTTCCGGGTTTAGGGTTTAGGGTTTAGGGTTTAGGGTTTAGGGTTTCCGTGGGCTTAGGGCACTTGTTTCCTGGCAAGCCGCCGCGACAGGGCGAGGTCACTGCAACACCGCGGGGACCTGCAATGGTTTCGCGGCACTCAAAACATCCCCATCACGTGGCCACACAAAGTCAACCTGGGTTGCAAGACATACGAAACACACAGTTTCCTGCGTGATCTTGAGATACATGGTGACCTATCAGAAAGGGTTCCAAAGGTTAATGGAGAGGAACACCACAGCACCAGCGCATCAAATCCACATTCTTTGTTTCGTCATTACGATTGTTCTTTCGAGGGGTCCCACTGACTCCAGAGACTTGAAGGGTTTTCAGGGAATCGATTTGAAAACCTGCAGGAACGGAGGCAGTGATGGCCTAGATCAAGGGGCTGCGTGATTTTCGTGAACATGCGAAATTGATAGAAATGCAGTTGCTGTGCCATCCTTGTTGCAGTTGTGGACCGGAACACCGTTCCTCGCACTCTTCTCAACGGTTGCGGGAGCAGGCCACCCTTTTTTCTAAGTGTAGAGGCCTCAAAACATCTGGCTGCACTGCCACATATGTTATAAGCCGCAGCAGCAGCCTCCGAGCGTCAGCGACGCATTTGGTCGGAGATGATGAACGGCAAAAGCATGCAGAAGACTCGTTGTTCGTCGCTGAAGGAACAACAGCGGCAGAATGCTTCACCTTGCGTCCCAAAGGTATGCTGTTGATGCCACGACTGCTACGAGAAAGATCCACACCACACGCTCCACAACCCACCCCACGTCAGAGGGTCGAGAAAGAAGGGAGGCCTTGCGGGAACCATAGCAAGCATGAGCCCTGCCGGGCTACCGAACCACCACGCTGCTTGTAAGTGTGACGAGCAGCTTGTTGTTCAGTCATTCCTTTCATTCATTTCATTTCATTTCCTTTCATTTCGTTTCGTTTCATTCATTCATTTCCTCATTTCCTTCCTTCCTTCCTGCCTTCCTTCCTTCTTTCATTCTTTCACTCTCTGTCACTCTCTGTCTCTCTCTCTAGGCGTGAACTCTTCTTGCATTGGTACGGCGTGTCTAATCCAGACCGGTTTCAAACAGCATCTGAGGCCGAAGCTCGCTCGAGTGAGCGCAGCCACCTGGACAACCAGTTGAATGCACCTGCCTACCTGCTGACAAGTCCTCGACAGCAACGCCTCTCCACAGTGTCGGTGCCGTGGAGCCACCTGAGGACCAAAAGCTCTGGGCGCGGCGGTGGGCTGACAAGTGCACAATGAGGCGGTGGCTCCACGCGGTTCCCCCACCGGAGCACCGCGTCCGTTGAAGAGAGGTGCACGATCTCTGCCTGGTGTGACTTTCCCGTTTGGCTCGAGGCGCGCGCGTGCGTGCGTGCGTGCGGGCGGGCGGGCCGGGCGGGCGGGCGGGCGGGCGGGCGTGCGTGCGTGCGTGCGTGCGTGCGTGCGTGCGTGCGTGCGTGCGTGCGTGCGTGCGTGCGTGCGTGCGTGCGTGCGTGCGTGCGTGCGTGCGTGCGTGCGTGCGTGCGTGCGTGCGTGCGTGTGTGTGTGTGTGTGTGCGCGCTCGCATTTGATCTAGTTCCTCTGGTTGGTGAACCAGTGCTTAGAACTGAGTTTTAACACATGTCAGAGCGAAGAAACAAGTCATCCAGAGAGAGACTGGCGTCTCCAAAACTTGAACAACCCCCGACGCTTGTGGTGCTTTCCTGGCGTTTCAAGATAGATTTCTGCAAGACGAAATTAAAGGCAAACACATTCAACAGTAGGAAAAAGGGTGATCACCATGTATATAAAGCTCGACTCAACTTACTTTGTAGGTTGCTTGAATACACAGCGCTGTTTCTGTAAGTTCTTCAAGCAACCAGGCCAACTAACCTAAAACTGCGTTCTTGAACGGCGGGCTGCAACGTTGCTCCCTCGAATCAGCCCGAGCTCGCCACGCCAGCACCAGGCAATGGAGAGGAGGCAAAGAGAGGCGCATAGACTCCAGGGCCTCCGGCCATCGTGGCTAAGTTTAACGTATTGACGAGTCCCAACACAGCATCGCTTTTCAGACGACCCGACAGCGTTGTGTTTACAAGCTACACGTCATAGACTTATGGCTCAGTAACGGCATAATATCTATATCTACATATGTATTTGTATATATATATATATAGATATAGATGTATAATGTTGTAGGCAGGAGCCAACAACCAGCATATGATGATCGTTAATTGTCAGGCACCCGGAAGCAGCGAAGTCGACCCAAGGGTTGTCACACCTGGCTCAGTGAGCCCCAAAGGCAAGTTGTCTTAATTGCAAGCTTGCGCATCGATACTCATGCTTTCCTCCCATGCATTGTTCGGCCCTCCTACTGTACGACGGCAGCCCAAATGTGTTTCGGGCTTCGTACGAGATTGCTGAAGACCAGACGTCGCTCCAATGGACTCTTTGGCTGCTTTCCTTGTGAGGTTTAGAAATGCAAGCTTAGAAGCTCGACCGAGGCTTGAGCATTCAAGTTGCTCTCAAGGTTCCTGAAGAACCTTGCAGCTCAAGCCTCGGTCGAGCCTAGGCTTTGCATACTTAAAGCTCTAAAGCCTGACATTTTAAACCCCAAGTCCTCTAGGTCTAGGGTTTAAGGGTTTGGTCCTGGATCCTACGACCAAGCCTCAAGCACAAGCCGCTCATGCCGTTCGCTATGGGCATCCAGTCCACCCCCCCTTCCTTCTCCCCCAACAAAAGCCTCGAGCGCTGGACTCCCGACTTTCTGCGTTTTTTTTACTTTTCGAAACTTCCCGCAACTTTTCGACTTTTCTGCACTTGGCCGACTTTTCGACTTTTCAACTGTTCAACTTTTCCGGGACTTTTCGAACTTTGTGTGACTTTTCGAAACCTTTCGACTTTTGACTTTTCGTGGATGTTCGACTTTTCGGGTGAAGCTCTTGTCCAAATCCACTTGGGCCTTCTAGGGCGCTCTCCATTTGCAGCCACGCACAACAGTCCACAATCACAGCACCCCCACCCCCAACGCTAAAGCCTAAACCCTCAATCCCAAACCCTGACCCTAAACTCTAAACCTAATAGCACTGAAGCTCAACCTACACCCGATCCCCAAACGCCACAAAACCGGGACCAGAAGGGGCGGGCAGGCACGCTCAACATAAATTGCCCGGTAGTCTGACAGGCCAGCGGGACCCAATGACGAAGGGGAAGCCTCTCCACAAACGGCATGCCAGAAAAAGCATGTATGAAAAAGACAATTCCCGAACTGGGTCCGAGACCTCCGAGGAAGTGCTCGGGATAACCAGACGGACCTGCAATCGCACCAAGATCTGGTTGCCAAAAAAAGATCCAGCCACCTGACGCTTCTAGGGCCGTGACAGCCGATGAGGCCGTGGTACCTTCATGGAACTTGCGACCATAAAAGAAAAGCCCGGAGTCTGAGCGTCCAAGGGTTTTACTGAGGCCGGCACCCAAGCTGCCACCCACGCCCGAGTCCTGGAAAAGAACACGTTTCCCAGGAACAGTACCTCCAGCAGCTGACCCCGGGGTCCTTCTCCACTGCAATCTTCAACGTCTCGCCCGGCTTCATGGCATGAGACAACGAGACCTCGTACTGTTTTCCGCCCTTCCTGGGTGGGCAGGGAACGCTGAAAGTGCGTATCGTGGCGTCCGGCAGAATAATGTCTATCTCAGAACAAGTATCTGCCAGACCATTTCCATCAGAAGTAGACTGCCCCAAATTGCAGGGTCTTCATGCAGGGCCCACAAAGCTTCCACCAATTGGGCATGTAGGCACGTACTCAAGAAGGCACGCCAACCTACTTACGAGGAAGACGTGACACGCCACCCCACCTACGAGGAAGACGCGGCTAGTGCACGACAATTGGGCACCAACTGCACGGAGCAACATGGGATGAGAGAACTCAATCCAAAAAGTGTTGCCAGAATGCATGCGCTGGGAAAGCTTTGGAGATCATGAGCCTGAGCACTACATTTACTACATGCAAAGCCCGCATACACTTGGGCTTCTTGTGCAACACGATGCCTGGAACATTGGAAGCTGATGAGTATCTGAGTCAAGTCGCTCAACCCTCACGGAGTCCCCAGGCTGGAAATTTTCCGGCACGACGACCTCCAACTTGCTTTGAACTGAACACGGAGACAAATTTGCTGCTCGCCCTGTGGTACGGCCAGACTCGTGCACTGTGCAATAGGTAGGCCAAGCACTCAGGGTTGCTCAAGCCCTGGAATTCTAGCCTACTTTCACGGGCGCCTCATCGTCAGCCCCCTTCCGCTGTCGCCGGCCACGGCGGCGACTGGGATCCTGCATGCCGACTCGTCAAGGGGGCTACGTGGCTGTAGTGGGCAAAGGGGTGCCTTCTATTTCCAAAAACGATCCGTGCAGTGCAAACACATGTCTACACTGACTGACTGTTGACGCCGTCAAACCGGGTTCACACACAAGGAAGTCGCATCTGTTGCGCGACGCGGGGACGAAATCCAACGCGACCAAAGATGGACTGGCGGACTGCAGGCCTGGGTTGCTTCTCACGCCCACCCACGAAATCGAGACCCTACAGCGGCCCGGGAATGTTCATCGTTTTGGCCAGGGCACTCAGGAAATTGACAAAGCGTCCATGCCCCCAATGAACGCATGGATTTTAAAGCTACCAACAATCAGCGAATTCGTTGCCAACATTCTGTCAATCTCGAAAACGGTTGCTGAATGACTTCCGCCCTAATGAAATGCAACGCCCATAGATGGCAGCTATGGCAATGATACTGTGACAAGCTTTCCCAGAAGTTGCCTGCTGGTTTGCATCGCAACCTTCATCACGCAAAGAATGCTTCACCTCAATGAAACGCAGTTTCGGTCGACTTGCCGAAATGTTTCCCGCGGAAATTTGCCTTCTGCAATCCTAACACCCCATTCAAATCTTCTTCTCCCCTGAGAACGGTGCCTGGTGCTGGCTCGTCCGACCCAGCAAGTAGTGGAACTCGGGCCAAGATTTGGATCGGGGCTCAGGGTGCAGGTATGATCTGTGAGCATGGGGCAAACCGATTCTATTCTTAGCACAAAGCAAGCGACTTCACGGTAAAGAGCAGCCGGGCCTAAAGCTGAACTCTCTTGACTTGCATGTGTACGCGTTGAACGCTGGCAGAGATTCACACGCAAACCTGGCCGTAAACAAGATCAGCAGAAGCCCGTGATGAGAATGACCCACGTCACACAATCCCGCGCCAAGCACAGCGGATCGAAGCCTAAATGATCCAAACTTGCCTTTAACAGATCGGACTCCAACCAACCCTCAAACAATGCCAAGGAGCATCGGCTGCGCTCGCGCTGCTAGCCCCTGCATTTCATGGGTTCTTGCAGCAAGTGAAGTGTGGCGCAGGTACGGCTTCGCTGGGCTCGGGGCCAAAGGGTGGTTGCACCCCTTCCAACTCCTGGCCCCGGAAAAGCAGAGAAAGATGTCCCAACGAGTCACTGGAGATTCCGGTCAAGAATTCTCATGCATTTGCCTCTCCGGTAGCTTTCTCTGGGCTGGTTGGCGCGGCAGCAGGGTCATGAGGAGCTTCCTTGTCACACGTGCGAGTGTCAACATTTATTTATAGAACGCGCTGACGCCCCAACCCGGTAACCTTGTGGCCGATCCACACCCCACCGAGGGCTCATGTAGCTCAGCTTCGACTCGGGCTGCAAGGGATACGAATTCGGGCTCCAGTTTCAAAATCTGGCATAGAGCATGAGGGCATGGCAGGCACGCCAGCGGCTGATCGCCTCGATTGGCAAGATTGCCACGCTTAGGGCTTGAATTTAGGGTTTAGGGTTTAGGGTTTAGGGTTTAGGGTTTAGGGTTTAGGTTTAGGGTTTAGGGGCTCGGGAAATCTGGGTTTCAGTAGCGTTTTGAGGTTCTGGGGTTTGAGGTTTTCGTGTCTCGCCGATAAGGTGGCACATCCTTTGCGGCACAAACAACCCGACACAGCAACCAAAAGTACAGGCTGAAGCAACAACTTGGAAGCATACAGCGACAGCCCGGAAGACTGAACAGAATAAACAAAGAACACAAAACGAACAAATTGGGAAGCCGGAAAGTGTCTGGCAAACTGGGTGAAAAAATTGCAGACACCAACAGACATTTATGTGAGCCCCTTGTGGATGGTGCTTCAGCGCGCACGCAAACAGGACGTACTGCCGGACCGCGTCTGATCAGAGACGAATGCCGACATGTCGGCAAGCGCACAAGTCGTGGTATGCCTCCCACCTTCTTCAATGCGAAGTGGGCTCTGGCAACAAACCTCTTTCTGGGACACTAAACCGCCTCAGGGCAGGGGCTTAGGTGACAACCAGACGCAATTGCATCCAGGCGTGCATAGCTTGAGCTTAGGTTCATGGCCAGGCGGTAGATGGCCAGTCCCCCCCGGTTGCTTGTGCTGATTGTCGGCTGGTTGTAGAGTTTGGGTTCAGCAGTTGGGTTTAGGAGGCAAGTTCTGGGGCTGTGGGTTTGGGGTGTGCGAATGTGGTTTATAGGGTTCAGGGTTTGAGGTGCCATTGCAGGGCACACCCTGACCAGTGTCTGCACCGCAGAAACCGAACCTCGACACTGCTGTCGTGACAGGGTTTGGGTTCGAACGGCTCAGGGGCTGCTTGGGACTCTGTTCCGGCTGTCCAGAAGCAGTGAATATGGCACGAATCGCATAGCCCACACCGGAAGAGCAACTGCACCACCCGCAATGTGTCTTAGCATTGCTGCATAACAAAAACTCGTTGACGCATCACCCTATAAACATCGTGAACCAATGGCTCAGCTGCAAACCTGAAAGCCATGTGGGCAGCAGATTTGTCGTCAATTAAGATGCAGGTCTTTGTACGTTCAGACATGTCTGAGGTCGATGATGCAGGTGTTTGTGCGTTCTGACATGTCTGGGGTCACTGGTTCAACTGACGTCTTGGTCTTGGGTCTGCAGCTCACAAGTGGAAAGAGTTGTGTGCGCATTTGATATCTCATGTGGGTGCCTGTGGCTGCAAGCTTGGTCATGATGGCATCTCTGTCTGCAACTCAGATGAAAACATCTGCGGGCGTCGACTTTGTCAAGAAGAACTTTCCATTCGACCCTTGCTAAACCCTTCCTACCCTGACTGCGTGAATCTCTCAAGGCTGAGCCACCTCATGGCACTGAGGTGAAGAGGGAATTTGGCAAGACAATCTTGCCACGGCTCCAGGATGCCAGTTGAACACACTCTGGCGCGAGCCCTTTAGGCGCGAGCTATTTGGTCAAAAACCCTTGTGGCGGGTGCTATTTCATCGCAACGGAAACATCAAACCCTACGAGCACAAAGGGAGGAGGCATACGACAAAAACCTTTCATAACCGTTCAAAGTACCACGCTAAAAGGTGCGAGGTGTTTGGTCAAGGTCCCCCAGAAGCAGGATGCTAGTTTGCCCACAGGGGCAACATCTAAGGTTTGTTCCCAACTCTGCCTGTTTTGCGACAAGGCTAAGTTAAGAGGTTTTTAGGGTAAACATCATAAAGTGCACACAGGCGGGTTATAGGGCCACGATTGCGTTACCAACACAGGGATTTCAAGCTTTGTAGCTAGGGAGACTTCGCGGGCGTTGGGAGCAGGTCGTTCAGCGCCTGCCCCAACAACTGCCAAAAACCCAAGCAACCTCCTTATCTCTCCTTGGAACGCTTGTCACCTGTGAAGACCAGGGATTCTTTTCTTTGGGTGAACGAAACGCAGGTAATTTGCAGCGGACTGGACTTTCTTTGGCCTGTCCAACTGAGACAATGAATCGGAACGGGAAGGTTTCCTTCCTCCAACACACCTGCCTGAATGATAGCTGAACAACCGCTTTGGAACTGTCCAGCCGCGGTAGATTACACAGTCCTTAGAGGCTCGGTTTTAGCCGCCGGTGCCTTGGCCACTGATGGGCAGCACCACTCACAGTGAGAGAAATAGCGTATTTAAATCAAGACATCGCTGCAGAGAGCCCAGCTGGTGCATTCTCCGATGCCACTTCGACAACCGACCTGAGATCAAGCGCAGCCGCGCGCCGCGCGGAACCCTAAATACTGCGAGATTCCTGCACCAGTGCGCATCTGTGCAACAGCACTCTGAGAAAGCAGCAGGGTCTCCACAAACTCAAACTTATCAATCTCGTCCAGAATTTTGCTCAAGTCGAAACTCTTCTGGCTCCGGATCGCCTTACCTGACACCAGATGGAATCAAACGAAGGCGACGTGCAAACGCATGTAAACGCAAAGCCCATTCGCTACCTCAGCTGGCTAACTTATTGCTGGATTCCGGCAGTCGCGGAATCGCTCCCCTTAAATTTTGTACATTGCTAAAATTCAGTTTAAGCGATCAAACGATGGGGCTGTCAAGTTGTGAGTTTTGGCTGGCTCGTACCACGGCAATTCTAAGACTCTCGCAACATCCTTCCCTAGACAGTTGCTCGAAGCACTCTTCCGGAGCTCTGGGCTCGAAGGTCTCTCGTAGCGCGATCGCATTAAGGGGTGAGGGCTCAAAAAAAAACACAACCGTTTAAGCTTCAGATTAAAAGCTTCTAAGACCTGCTTTTCTATGGCATACTTGCATTCTCCAAATGATGCTCCTGTCTGGGCGTAGGCTTGACTCAGGCTTCGGAGAACGGCGGCTTTCATCGCAAAGTGGCCAAACGGCTCTCATAGGGGTAAGTGCATGCACGAAAGTCGTGTATACTGTGGAACCAGGTCTTGATTGCCAAAACAAGCCCCATGGAACTCTTGCGATAGTCGTAGTTCTGGGAACTGCAAACATTCTCAAGCGCTGCATTTAGCAGATCATTCATTTCCTTCTTTCCCGTTATAACATATGCACCCGAAGCCGTCCAAGAAACCGAGCGGAAAGCCCGCGCACGCGTGCGCCACATGTGTCGTGACAGTTCGACCACGGAATGCACATGGGACATAGACAAGATCGCACTGAGTCAAGTCGGACGACGGACGACGCCAAAACCATATCAGGCGCTGCATTTTTGGGCTTCTTCACGACAATGCCCTGTGTGTGTGCATGTCGTTCTTTCGCTATCTCTGTGCGCCGAAACATGGTTTTGTTGGTCGTGCTGTTTTGGTGTGCTTCGTTCGTTCTCCCGCGGTAAACATTTGTCTCTATCTCCCTTGAATAGTTCTCAATGTCAATTTTGTTGTACTATGTCTTCTGTCTATCCCTCGTTTGGTCGTAGTACCTCTTGCCTTCTCGATTTTTGTCCCCCCACAAACACAATCAAAAACAAAAGTGCGCAAGTGCGCAGGCTAGATGTTCCTCGTTACACGAAGTTCTGGCATGCCCTATGCAGGCCATTAACCATTCTATAAATGCCGAAAGCTCTGGCTCCAGGATTCTGGTTTAGGGCGTTTAGGATTTAGGGCAAATGTATGGGCTTATATGATGGGTTTAAAACCTTTAATAGCCATTCGAATTAACGCGTTCAAACACGTCTTTAAAACGGTATATTGAAGGGTTTGAGCTCCGACCTTGGTGCAGGGCCTTCAACCCTACGCGCACGCAGGGAAGGGACATACGACAAACCTCCGAGCTAGTTTGGTGAGGGCGGTAGAGGTGATGCTGTTTGAACACTCTTGCGCGAGCAATTTTAAACCCTACGAGCACCAAGCGAGGGAGGTGCGAAAATACCTCTAGTTGCTTCCGACGACGCCCAAAAACCTGTGCTGGTAACGTAATCGTGGCTCCACACAGGGATAATCATCTCAACCTGTGTAAACCACCGTCTTTATGTGCATAAATCATAACGTGCTCATTTTGTGCAAGAGCTGTTTGGTCGCAGGGGCTAAAATTTACGACCCTTATAGAGCCACGATTACGTTGCACAGGTTTTTGGGCGTCATCGGAAGCAACTAGAGGTTTGTCGAATATCCCCTCCCTTGGTGCTCGTAAGGTTTTTTGTAGAAACTCGAGTTCAGATAGCATCCAGCGTTTTTGGGAGACCCAAATAGCTGTAGATGTCTCGGTTGGTTGCAGGGGCATATTCACAACCCTTTTCGAGCCACGACTACGTTACCAGCACAGGTTTTTTGGGCATCGGAAGCAACTAGAGGTTTGTCGAATGTCCCCTCCCTGGAGGGTTTAAATAGCTCGCGACTAGAATCCTGCTTTTTGGGGGACCTAAGTAGCCAATAGCCGTAGATGTTTCGGCCAGCATGAGCAACTAGCACCCCACCTGCCCCGGCGACCAAATAGCTCACGCAAGCGACAAAATTGCTCGTGCCATCACCAAACCCTACGAGCACCAAGGGGAGGGACATACGGGTGTGTCGGCAACAGAGATAAGAGTGTTTCATGAACCCTGTGCCCGCACAACTGCAAGATGGGATCAGGCCTGCAAACCAGGAGATGGCCCCGTCCCCTGGCACGCACGCAAGCTGCAACGTTTCCCCAGATGTCCCGTGTACCAAGTGACATGTCTGCTGATGCCAACATCAATGCCGCATGAAACATGAAACGTCAAAACTGACTGGAGTCCTCTGCTTCCGGTGACCGAGAAGATCTTTCCACATCCGCCGCCTACTGCATCGTCAGTATGCTTCAGCAACATAGATAAGGATGTTTCATGAACCCTGTGTCGGCACAAACTGCAAAATTGGATCAGGCCTGGCCCAAACCAGGAGGTGGCCCCAACCCCTGGCAGACACGCAAGCCGCAACTTTTCCCGTATGCCTCTTCATTGCATGAAACCCAAATCAGAGCAAGCAACGGGTGTGTCGGCAACAGAGATAA